CAGGATTTTTTTTTATTATTATTAAAAAAGCAAAAACTGTTTTTAAGATTGTAACAAAAGCTGTGTGCTGTATAATATATTTGCCTATCTTTTCCTATCTCCTGATAGCTGCTTTCTAGGAAGACCATGGAGAATTGTGGATGGCAGTTTAAATAAACCTGTGTGCAAGGGAATGCTGGAAGCTGTTCTGTACCAAATTATGTCTAAGCCAGGCATTACTGAAAAGGACTTGGTCCACCATTACAGTGGTGTCTTACAGCCTGTCATTGTTATCGAGCTATTACAGGTAAATTGAAGGATTTACTTTTCTATTTTCAGACATTCTAATTGGAGGGTTCTCGTATATAATACTGATCTCTACAGGATAACCTGGGACCTGCCTTTGCTAAAAATGTGGTCAAACGTTAAAGTTTAGACTGAAGACTTTATACACTTTGAAATGTATTCATTTGGGGTTTTGTTTGTTTACAATTTCCTTGTTTGCCATTTATTTCAGCTTTCTTGCTAACCATTTTCAGTCATATTTATAAGAATTACAAGGCCATGGATTTTAAAAATAAAGAATTTTTAAGTACCAATCTTTTAAAAAAAGTTCAGACTGTGGTTTGCTTTTTGGTGGTTCTGCTTAATATTAACAGTATAAATATTAGTTATAATAGAAAGCCGTGATCAAGCAGAAGTTTTTGAGAAATATAACATACAATTCAATATTAAAGTCTTCTTTTATCTTTCTGACCATGCTTCATGTTACACCCATATTTAGGGTGTAACATGAAGCATGGTCAGATCGCACCCTCCTCGTGTGATCTACTGATCATGGTTGCAAAGGTTTTTTTTACTGATTCCTATGCAAAAATAAATGTACACATTTTAGCTTTTATGAAGGAGTATGCATTTATTTATTTCAAAGCTGGAATTTTCTTGATAAATTATCCAAATATGCGTCTCCAAAAGAGGAAAAACATATCTATACATTGCATGAAAAACATTTAGAACATAGTATTGGCCTGTACTTGTTAGGCATTATCCTGAACACTAAATATCCAAACTAAACATCACCTCCTACCATAGAGGCCCTGTCACCAGACCATTTATTTCAACAACAATCTTCCCATAAGATTACATATACATTCCATATTGAACCAGCCCATTATCAACAGCTAAAGTGCATTGTGCTCCCATGGGTGCACCCTTGTCTTTAATGATGGGCTGGTGCAATATAGGAGTGAGAGGGGAATTATAATACAAAGGGGGAAAGGGAGAGATAATATATAGCAAGAATAGAGTGCATCTGGGAGTAACAATATGATAGTATATGAGGGAGTACAGGAAAATAATTGAGGTAGAGTGATCAAATTAATCAAATCTAGTAAGTAGGAAGAGAGAATGGAAAGCTGCATGTAGTGAAAATTATTTAAGAGGCACAAGCACACTCCTAGAATGAAATTGAGGAATTGAGAGATACAGTTGGGGGTCTCTTTTACAGCAGTGAATCTCACATTCCCCAAAAATTCTCTGCAGGTGCATGTTCCAGGTGCATGTGTTTTTAATGAGCGATTGATTTAACAGTGAAAGTTTGGTGAAAGTCAGATCCACTGATTTATCGATATGCCCCTTAAGCTTTACAACCATTGCATGACTTTCATCGTGCGATGGTTGTAAAGTAATTAAAAGCTTGTACGATCTGCCCATCTTGGACAGGCAGATTGTACTTGCGATCATCGCAAGTACAATCTTGCGATGATTCCAATGTCGCACGGGCAGTATTCGCTTGCGCACACCGGCCCATGCTGCATTTGTCTCCCGAGAACGCCACTGACCCGCCGACAATCGTACATTTCTTGGCGGGTTTTCAAGCCTGCTCAGGAGACAAGACGTGCGACCGTACAGTAGAAACGGTTGCACGCCTTCCATACACCTGCCGATTATCGCATGATCGCGGGATCACCCGCGATTATCGTACGATAATCGGCAGGTGTATGGGCACCTTTTAGAGTTAGGCCTCAGATTCCCATATTTTGCACAGACATTACTGGTAACACTTTGACATATTATTGAGGGTGAAAATAAAAATAAATCAGTCAAAGGTTAAGGGTTAAGAAAAAAAAAGTTACATTTTCGTATATAGTAGTTAAGATGTGCGTAAATTAAAAGTACAAACATTTTCCTTTTTACATCATTTTTCTTATGAATTTGTTCTCTCAGAGAAAGATTGTACAGTACCTAGGGTCATGTATATAATACCATAGTATGCCCAAACAGGGGCTCTGATCACTGTACAGAGCAGTCATATAATATTTTCCTCATATCAATGTAAACCGAGCAGGGCCAAATGAAAGAATTGCACAGTGAAGAAGTGTAAGTCCCAGGATTATTCAGCCTCTGTGCTGCCATAAGGCAACCTTGTCTGATTTAGTGAGATGGCAACCCACTCGGCAATGTGGGATTTGCATTCCTTGATAACTTTACCATGCTTTACACCAGAAATGTATTTACTGATCTAATACAAATTTAATTATGTATTACTTCAGTATCATAAGGTGATCCCTTTGTCATTGCTTATCAATAGACCCATAGCTAAATGTAGAAATTGCACTGGTACATTTAAGGGAGTAAACGTGTGAGAACCATAGTAGTTAGAATCACATTAATGGTTTATGACTACAGATTTTTTTTTTGTCGTGCATCACCATGTACTGTTACACAGGGAACTTGTGGCTAAACTTTATTATTCCAATACATTTTGCAAGAATCGTTCTTAAGCGACATCATTGTTGTTTAAGGACTTTGACACATATATGGTGTTTAGCTAATCACCTATAGCTAATCACGTAACACATATACGAGTAGAGAACATAAAAAATGCAGAAGCGCACTACCAAGTAGTGACTGAGCAGGAGAAAAAAATCGAATGAGACTTACCAGGGTGTGGGTACTAGTGCGTTGTCAGCGGCGAGGTCTGGATGAATTGGGGGTCCAGGGTTGCTGGTGGTGGTGGGCAGGCTAATGTGTAAATCGTTGGTGCCGGAAAGACTACGATGTCAAAGGGGAACTGGGTCCAACGTTTAATGTGGCTGGGATCTGAGGGGGCGGCTCGGGTTTGGGAGAAAAACTGGCTGTCTAAAACGTGCTAGCTGCTAGTGGATGTATACCTGAGATCTGTGTTTGTGTGTGTGTGGGGGAGCTGCGGTGAACAGTTGAAGCTGTCAGGCCGGGAATGTCCGGGGGAAACCAATAGTGCGGAAGCTAGCCTGGAGGTGGATGTTGAGGTCGGGTTGGGACTACCCCGCTCGAGGGCACGGGCGGCACGCCCGAAGCAGCGAGCGGTGCGTCCGTGGGGTACAACAGGTGGGAACGAGTGGCGGAGGTGGTGGGTGAAGGAGTTCAAACTGGCTACGCGTTTCGAAGAGCGGGTCTTCTTTTTCAAGCCACTGAGTGAAGTACCCACACCCTGGTAAGTCTCATTCGATTTTTTTCTCCTGCTCAGTCACTACTTGGTAGTGCGCTTCTGCATTTTTTATGTTCTCTATCAGTAAAACGTTGGACACCCCGGTCCGCAATTTTTAGGAGCCGCACACTTAGTAACGCAAGCGATATTTGTTCACCCTCACCTCAGGGGCAGCGCTGCAATAGAGGACATTTCTCCCAACTTTTTTTTAACACATATACGAGGGCCACTCTGACTGTATCCAAATCTTCTACCAAATGTAAGCCCTGTATGTACTTTAAAAGTGTATAATATGTTAGGATAAACTACTAAACTCATATAGTGCAGAACAATTAAATCTCCCAAATGGGAGAACTCTCCAGGATTGAATAGGTGGGGGAAGGGGTGTTGTGTAATGCAAAGATGCAAACATTAGTTGTCCGATTAGTAGCAGTATTTATTGAATTGCAGATTTAGTTTGAGCTTAGAATTACAATTGTTACTATATTCCAGTTTATGTTTTCATATAATGTTACACCTATATAAAGTGCCGTTTCCTACTGTTGTTTTTTTTTTTTTTTATTATTTCAGGTGCTGGAACAAATTGGATGTATAAAGAAGTGTTACATGGAAAAATGTTTCAAAGCTACTCTGTGCTCCCAATGTAAAATTCCTCAAGTACACAATACCTCCAGACTCTCTGGGGATTTAATAGCATTTTATGAACCTACTATTGACTGCACCCTGAGACTTGGTGGAATTTTTCCCTCTGAAGATAACTGGAATAAATGGGTATTATAAAGATATGTGTATATTGGATATACGTCCGCAATTTATTCAATACATTTACTAATTTGTAAAATATTTTGTACTCTAAAGTATCATGCTTTTGTGACCATGTCTGTTTTTATGGATATTATGTTTGATAATAAAGTACACTGTTACATGCTTGCATGCCTTTCATTTTAGAGAAGTAAGCATATAGGAAATTGGGTACATGATCTGTTGACTGTTTGGCCATCCATATAGTAATAAAAGCTGAACTAATCTTTCTCAGGCATTAAGGGACACTGGAAGCCTTTTAAACCTTTAGGTTATACTGCCTTTTATAGGAGGATTGGGCACTGGCAAACAAATAACTAACTGTTGGCCAGGCCAGGTTAAGCCCTCCTACTACCCAGAATGCCTGTTTTTGTTAGGCTGCCCATACACCTTGCGATCATTGGACGACAGTTTTCGTCCGATCGAACCGCCGTATGATTTTTGTACGGTGGCCCCATCCTGCCCCGATTATCGCAAGGTCCAGGTGCTTTCGGTAATTAACCGAAAGCACCTGGACGAATTGTGGTAATCGACCACGCGTATTTTCGTTTGCGCATTTGCAGTGTAAATCGTACGAATTTTGACTTACGGAAATGCCACCAACCTTGCGAAAATCGTACGATCGGCCGAAGTTTTCTAACCTGCTGGTAAGTCAAAAGTCGATCAATTGTACAGTATTTGTGGTTGCGCACTGCCCATCAACCTTACGAATATTGGACGAAAACGCGATCGCATACGAAAATCGGCCGATATTCGTAAGGTGTATGGGCACCTTTAGTGTCCTGGGCATCTTTTCTTCAGCTGTGCTATGTAACCCCTTAATGACTGAGGCCTTTTTTCATTTTTTGCACCCATGTTATAATCCACATTTTAAGCCTGAAAATTTACTTCCAACCCCCGAACATTATATAGTTTCTGAAAGCCAAGACCCCATAGAATACATTTTTTATGTTGCAAGATATTAACGCAAGTTATTATCAAACCTAAACATGTAGTGAAAAATGCCCCAAAACACAAATACCCTTTTTTTTAAATATAAAAAAAAGAGGTTACAGCAAGTAAATACCCAATATGCCCAGGTTAAAAATGATGTGCGTTTGTGAAACGGCGACAAAATTCAGTACCCCAAAAAGTCTATAGACGTCGCTTTAAAAGCCCCCACAGGTCATCAGTTTAGAGACACAAATATTGGCCCTAGAATTATTGATCTCACTCTGGCGTATGCAGCGATACCCAAGATGTGTAGCGCAATCATCGTTTTCATACGTAGGCGCACCCGACGCGTCTTTACATAAAGACGCGCATGCTCGCAGGGGCGGGGGACTTTAAAATTTTTTTATTAAGGGTTATTAACCCCTTCGTGACGGGAGACGTACACTGTACGTGACACGTTATTTAAGGCTCTGTAATGCTGGTGATTCTCAGCGGTTACCAGTCATTAATGAATGCCTCGGTATTGAAGCATTCATTAATGAAATAGTTAAGCTTTTGTAAAAATGAAAGAATGAAGCCGTTACATACAAATACCGGATTACTAAATAGCTATCCGATACGGTATTTGACAGCTGAAGATAGGTAGCAGAGTGAGTCACCTCTCTATTCGTTTTGACAGCTCCATAGACTGGCCCAATGTCTATGGAGCTGTGTGAAACATTTCAGGCACAATGTTACAATGTATCTCTGTGCCTGAAATGCATCACTTCTGATAGTCTGGGCACGATCAGAAACCTTCAGGCCTGGTTCACACCTGGGTGTTTTACAGCGCGTCCCTACGCGCTGTAAAACGCTCAACATGTGAAAACCAATGATTGCCTATGGGCATGGTTCCCACCTGGGCGTTTTACAGCGTGTAGGAACGTGCTGAAAAACGCCCTACGCCCAAAGAAGTACAGGAGCTTCTTTGGGACGTTTTTTCTGCGTGTTCCCATTGGTATTCCCGAGTGTGGATCGGGGTTAACAAAGCAGTAACCCCGAGCCACACTCGGGAATACAGCGTACAGGTCTTACCTTGTCCGTGATCCCCGCTGTGTCCTCCGGCGGATGCCGACTTCCGGGTTCCGTCCCTTGCGAGCGGCCGCAGCGCAGGGGGGCGGAGCCGGCGGGAAGTTTGAAAGTGGAAACGCGCGTTTCACTGAACGGAAAAACGAGCTGAGAAAATACACTCAGGTGTGAACCCAGCCTTAGTGAGATCTGATTCTGACATGCTGTCGGGATCAGTCTCTAAGGTTATTATTAGCTGTTCCTAAGTTTGGAGCTTTTTTTTTAATTTTTTAATAACCAAAAATTAAAGTTAATTTATCAAGCAGTCATAGTGACTGCTTTATATATAAACTGACAAAAAAAATTATATATTAATATATTTTTATACTAGAATTATTATATAAAATAATAATCAAAACTTGTCAAAAAAGTGTTTTCTTTGTTTTTTTTATATTTTTTCGAACTAAGTGAGGCGTTAAGTACACGTTTGATATAATTATATAGCCCTATCTGTCCTCTAAAAAACAATATATAATATGTGTGGGTACATTTAGTAAGAAAGTATACTGTATTACAGCCATGGAAGTATCAGACAACAAAAATGTAAAAAGTGTGTCAGTCATTTATGAACAGAAACTGAAAACAAGTCATGAAGGGGTTAAACCCTTGCATATATATCTACTGCTAGCAAGCAGTAGATGTATGCAAAACGATTAAACAGAAGAAACCAAAAAAAAATTTCAAAGGGTTAATACTTACCTGTGTCTCTGCCACGCGCTCCCATCCGAACATCTGAAAATTTCTCAGGCGGTGCAAAGGATCTTGGGGCGGACGCATGCGCAGTTCAGATGTTCGGCTGGGAGACGAGGAGAGACGCAAGGTAAGTCTATGGAGCAGTGTGCACCCGCGCACCGTGGGACATGAGAGAAGAGGATCGGAGACCCGCACCAGGACTGGAGGGACAGCTACAAACTACAGGAAAGAAGATGATCGGATTAAGAGGGATGATTTAAGGTAAGTCCCTACTAGGGATGCACCAATACTTTGAGTACCAGTGCCGATACTTTTTCATGAGAACTACCGGGGTTGCAGCTGGGACCTGGCTCTAGCGCTCCACCACTGTCCTGAAATCATTAGTCTGTATTGTTTTAGAAAAACTGTCACATGACAATAAACAAAAATGTATCAGTACTCGTACTTGTAAGTACTCGGCAAGTACCAGTACTCGTAAAACTGGTATCTGTGCATATTTAACTTCAATTGCTATCACATAGGGTGCTTACTAGCCATATTGGCAGTGACCGGTCCTCTTTAGTAGCCTCCTAGTATCTTTCCGGGGGCAGCGGAGCCCAGGAAACGTGGGGTGGGGGGGCAGTTTACCCACCCGTAGAAGCGATCTGGCAACGGCTGAGTCAACAGAATTGCTTCTATTGTAAAGCCAGCCGCTACCAGAATCGCTTCTATTGTAAAGCCAGCCGCTGGCTCTATGAATGTTAACAGAGTCCCAGCGGCTAAAGCTTGGCTAAAGTCTGTTTAAACGGGCCCACTGCCAGTGACATACTATGTACGTCACTGGTCACAAAGGGGTTAAAGACTAACCTATTTTTTGCTAAAAAATATGTAATTACCAAGTGAAGTGTCCGCACACTACGGACGGGGTTAATTAGAGTAAACATAGCTTCCCACAGCCCTTCCCTATTTTTTTTTTTTTTCAGTATTTTTGGTTTTGCAAATTCAAAGACATTAAACATAACATACAGTATTTAGGAGTGGCAAACAAACTACCCACGACCTTTAGAATATAGACACAATATCTATTACAGTAAACAAGAACTGTATAAAGAATCCCATTTAAAGCCCATTTCTTGGATTTTGCTTGAAATGAAAGCCTTAGGTGATGTGGAGTTTTTCAAAATCAGTCAGTCATTCCTAAAATCTTAGGAACCTGTTTATATCTTGGAAGTCCATCCTTGAACCAAAGAAAACCACTGAGCAGAATGTCCGTAGTCGACTGTTACATACATAGTTACATAGTATTTGACTGTTCTAGTTGGATTCAGTGTTTTTCCGAGCTATGCCTTCACCAATCTATAATTCAAGACATATGTGTGACCTAGGTAACCTAATTGTGTATTTTTATCGGTTTAATATTAATTTGAGAAACATTTGCGCAATTATCGCAGGGCCTACAAATTTAGTATCACCATCTTTTTATTCTACCGGGCCTGCGCTTTCAGAAAATATATGGTTTGGGGGGTCTTTTACAAACGCTAGCAACGCAGCAGTTGAAAATCAAATCAATAGGAAAAAATTGCAGAAAATTGGCCAGCTGATTTGAAAAATGTTTCGGAGGGCTTGGCAGCGAAAGGGTTAAGGTTCAACTCCAGGGTGGAAAAATGATAATTTACACACCACAATGGGTCTTTCCTCCTCCAATAACAAGAAACCTTGTACTCTTTGAAGAAAAAAAAAGTAGAAAAGTACAAGGCATTTTGTGAATGGGGTAAATAGTGAGGAGAGGCAGGGATGCGACTGGAGCACTTCACTGCTCAAGTCACATCCCTCACTTCCCACTGGGCCTGGAAGCCCAGAGGTATGTGTAGGAGCCAACATGCTGCAAGGTAGGATTTTATACTTTGTAGCAGGATTTTTTTTTTTTTTTTTTACTTCTGCCACTTTAGATATAAAGAAATTATTTTAAGTAATTATTACATATTAGATGTGAATGGAAAAGGTATTTGGTACAGATTTTTAGATATAGGCATTTTTAAATGCCCTACAGATTGTTTTGTGTGGAGCTCTAGAGGATGGGTTCACAGTGTATAAATATGTCAATGAGGGTGAATATTCCAACCTGGTAATGAGATATTTAGGGAGAATAGGTTAGGAATATAAAGATGAAGGTGGCAAAAAGCGCTAAGAGGGAGAAATAGTTTATAATTTGATCAAGGTGTTTTTTGTGGGTTTCTTTTTGGCCCCATAGGATTTTATGAATATGGGTGTTATAGGATCACAAAGTTATAGAGTACATGTTAGAATTTGAAAGCACCTGTAAAAGAAATAATTCTCAATATAGGCATTGGT